AAAGCAGAAAAGTTAGTCTATTTTCATAATTTGTAATAAAATATTAATAAATTCAGACCGATCAAAAGAAAAAAAACCTAACTAATTTACCTCTGGTTATTTAGAAAAAATGAAAATTTGAAGTACATTGAAAAGAAAAAACAAAATTTGCCTAAATGGAACCAACTATATAACCAAGAGCTCATTATTCTCTTTCGTTCGTCGTATCCATTTATATAGTCGAGAAGAGAGAAACATGGAAGGCAAAGAAGAGGACGTGAATGTGGGGGCTAACAAGTTCCCGGAGAGGCAACCGATCGGTACGTCGGCGCAGACGGAGAGCAAGGACTATCAAGAACCACCTCCGGCGCCGTTTTTCGAACCCGGCGAGCTCAAATCATGGTCCTTCTACAGAGCCGGCATAGCCGAGTTTATCGCCACTTTCCTTTTCCTCTACATCACCGTTTTGACAGTCATGGGCGTCAAAAGAGCTCCCAATATGTGCGCTTCCGTCGGAATCCAAGGAATCGCTTGGGCTTTTGGTGGCATGATCTTCGCTCTTGTCTACTGTACTGCCGGAATTTCAGGTCAGGATTGGATCTATTGTTTTCAAATTTTTGTATCATTTCTTGAATCTGGATGAAGAAATGTGGAATTAGGGTGAATTTGTTGGGAGAGATCTGCTAATTTCTTCGTTGTATTGAAGAATCATCTGAGTTTGAAACTTGGAGTGATTTCCCTGTAGTGAGAGATTTACTAGTTTACTGGTTTATATTCGAAGAATCGTCTGATTTTGAAATTTTGAGTGATTTTCCTTAGCAAATTGTAGTGGAGATTTGCCAATTTAACTGGTTTATATCGAAGAATCGTCTGCTTTTGAAACTTGGAGTGATTTCCCTTAGCAAATTGTAATGAGAGACTTGACATTTTTTTCTGGTTTATAGCGAAGAATCGTCTGATTTTGAAACTTGGAATGATTTCCCTGTAGTGAGAGATTTGCCACTTTACTAGTTTATATCGAAGAATCGTTTGATTTTGAAACTTGGAGTGATTTCCCTTAGCAAATTGTAGTGCAGATTTGCAAATTTAGTGGTTTATATCGAAGAATCGTCTGATTTTAAAACTTGGGAGTGATATCCCTTTTAAAAAATTGTAGTGAGGTATTTGACAATTTTAGTGGTTTATATCGAAGAATTGTATGATTTCGAAACTTCGAGTAATTAGTTGTTTAGCAAGAATCCAATCTGATTCTTACTTCTGTGGTGAATTAATTGGTTTGGTAATTATACAGGAGGACACATTAATCCGGCGGTGACGTTCGGTTTGTTCTTGGCGAGGAAGCTGTCTTTGACAAGAGCTCTCTTCTACATAATAATGCAGTGCCTTGGAGCTATCTGTGGTGCTGGTGTGGTCAAGGGTTTTCAAACAGGACCGTACCAGGCGAATGGCGGTGGTGCCAACGTGGTAGCTCATGGCTACACAAAAGGTTCAGGTCTTGGTGCAGAGATTATTGGAACTTTTGTTTTGGTCTACACTGTTTTCTCAGCTACTGATGCTAAGAGAAGTGCTAGAGACTCCCATGTCCCTGTATGTTGCTGCTAATTCCCTATTCATGGCTGAGTTCATATTCATGGCATAGAACGTAACTTATGTGTTTTTGGTCACCAAACGTTCCGCAGATCTTGGCTCCTCTTCCAATTGGGTTTGCTGTCTTCTTGGTGCACTTGGCCACCATCCCAATCGCTGGAACCGGTATTAACCCGGCCAGGAGTCTTGGAGCTGCCATTATCTACAACAAGGATCATGCTTGGGACGACCACGTAAGTTTTGCTCTTTAACCGCATGAACGCATGTGCTAAATCTGATGAGTATGAATTGCATCGACATCAAGTTTTTTGGAGGACGGGAAAAATCGTTGCCTAGATTGGTATTTAAAACCGAATCTAAAAAAAAAATCCGCTCTTTGATCTGTTGTTTTTTCTGTTTGTTATGCCTGCAGTGGATCTTTTGGGTCGGTCCTTTCATTGGTGCTGCTCTTGCTGCTCTGTACCATCAGATAGTCATCAGAGCCATTCCTTTCAAGTCCAAGTCATAAAGATTCACACGTCTTCTCTGATCATATCATTACCAAGCCAAATATGTACCAATCTTTCATTCTATGTGCATTCCTCTTGTTTCCTACGTCTCATGTGTATCTATATTTATCTGCCAGTGGAGTCTGATCTTGTGACATTGTATATGTGTAAATAGTTATGTCACCTTGGAATTGATCTTGTTGTTAAATTGTATTGTGTTATTAAGTCAATGGAATTGTATCTTGTTACATTACATTGTACATGTGTAAGCTCACAATATTGTTTCTGGAGCATTTGTTGGGCTCTGTTTGGTTTTGAACTAAATTTTATTGAGGTTGGGCTCAATTGCCTTACTTCTTGAAACGAGAAATCGATTTCGTTTTTCTTTCCTCTCATGATCGGCTTAGATTTTGTGGAGGTTTTGACTAAAGCCAAGTCAAGTGGTGAGTAAAGTTTTTTTATCCATCTTCCAACAACTTCGATAAAGAGAAAGGTTGAATAGAGAGCTCTAATTATGTGCTGAAGAGTGAAGTGAGTGATGGGCCAAAAATGAGAGGTCATCATCTTGAGCTTGACCTTAAAGAGAATAAGTTTGTTCATTAATTTCCTTGGAAAACCCTTTCTAGCTAAACCCAATGAGGATGATTAAAAATGGTGATCTAGTGTATCAAGAAAGAAAAAACAAAGGTTTTGTGATAACTGATAAGAAACAAAAAAAGAAGATTAGCATCGAATATCTTGCACAGAAGACAAAACGCTTAATTAGACCAATTATTATTAACCTTGATGATGTAATATTTTTAGTTGACAAAGATTTAGGCCTTGATTTTTTTCGGTTTCTGGACTAGTTTTTGGATTTTGATTTTGCAAAAACCAATTTTTTTTGCCAATCGTGATTTTGAAAAAAATGATTCCCTTATGTTTAGCGAAACTAGTTTTTACTCCTTTTTACCATTTCCTTCACAAAAACTAAAATCTCTATTTTTTGGGTTTTTGAGAAAAAAGGTGCCGAGACTTCTCTTTTTTATATATACAAATCTGTTTTTTTTTTTTTGCAAAACAGTTGCTATTTTTAGGCTTTAGCCATTAACATTTTCTATTTAAGAGACAAATTTTCACATCTACTAAACACATTCAAAATCTCATCAATATTAAACTTCTTTGAAATTCTAAGTTTTGAAGTAAGTTTAGTTAATTAATTTATGTTTTTTTAATCAATACTTGTACCAATATAAAGTAATTTTTTTTTATATAAAAAATATAAGTTATATAAAATTTTACCTACTGGAATTTATTTCCATAAGTTTAGTAGATTACACAAAGAGTAATAGGCATATATATTATGTTTGGTAGATATAATTAATTATTTAACATGACCTAATTACTAATTAGGTGTACAACAATTAGTAGACTTGAAATGTCAAAATTAACCTTATTCTATTTACACATGTTTTTTATTTACATTAAAAAGAAAATTAAAACTCCAATTCCTTTTATCCTACTTCATGCCTCCACCCACCGCTGTCTACGAATCATCACTTCTCCATTCTTCATAATCTCCTTTCTTTGATTTAATCTCTCCTTTTAATCTCCCTCTAATCATTTATCAGTTTCACAATCTTTGT